TTGGGGACATTAGTAGATTTGTGATAAAAGATAAAAAACTTGCGTGAGTTTGTAGGATTTATTTTTTGTTACTTGTGTTTCAGAATTGTCGTGTAAAACTACACAAAGGGGTGTCTTCGATTACCTGTCCTAATTCTGAACTAATAGGTTTTGAGGAAAGCCAGTTATTAAACAATATTCACTACCAACCCTTAAGACACTCTTGTCAGACCAAATAATGGAATTTGATCGTCACTCTGATAGAGCCCCCAAAGTCACAAAGCGCGATCTTTCGCGTTGGGTCGCGAATCGGAAACCCTTGGATTTGCAATCCGAGTACGATAACCACTAGTCCAATCTTGGCCTATTTTAAGTTGAAGTAAGTATTAATTATATAGAGTGATGTGAGCTTAAAATGAAATAACTTTACCTTCTTGGGCTAGCAGACCTCCGATCTGAGATAGAAACTGACTTGTGAACTCTGTTGGACTTCAGATTAAGAAAATGTGTAAGAACAACTTACTGGAGAGAATGTAACTTACCGGAAACGGAGAGAGTGTAAAAGAACAACTTACTGGAGAGAATGTAACTTACCGGAGAGAGAGTGTTAAAACAACTTACACGGGAGAATGTAACTTACCGGAGAGAGAGTGTAAAAAAAAAAACTTACTGGAGAGAATGTAGCTTACCGGAGAGAGAGTGTAAAAACAACTTACTGGGGAGAATGTAGCTTACCGGAGAGAGAGTGTAAAAACAACTTACTGGGGAGAATGTAGCTTACCGGAGAGAGAGTGTAAAAACAACTTACTGTAGAGAATGTAACTTACCGGAAAGAGTGTGTAAAAACAACTTACTGAAGAGAATGTAACTTACTGGAGCGATAGTGTGTAATAACAACGTAATTAACAGAATGTAATAACAAGTTATCACACAGAGATTGTGTATGTGTGAAACAACTTACCGAACTTATTTTAAAAAACTTACTCGATATAAAAACAACTTACCGAACAGATTGTAAAAACAAGTTACTGGATATAAAGAGTGGGTGTAAACACAAGTAACCAAATAGAGTGTAAAGCATATTCTCGAATAGAATGTAAAATCTTACTGTATGGAGAGAGAGAGTGTGTGAAAACAACTTACCGGTCGTAGGCTTTCCGATAATTTGACCAAAGATGGAAGATCCATGAAGACCGGGGGAGTATCCTGGACGTCTTCAACCGTTACTACAATGTCAACCACGGCTATGTTTCTGGTATCCACTGTCTCATTAGTCCAAGCATTCTGGTAAAGAAGTCAGTTGTTACTATAATATTAGAACTGTGCAGTTCTAGTTGGAACTGAAAGTGAACTATGTATATATAGTAAACTTCAATCATTATAGTACTCGAGGAAATATGATTTTTGTGTATGCAAAGTTTTTTTTTTTTATATACAATATATATATGTACATAACTTCTAACAAATATAGGCCACAAAGTAGTGTCGCACTAATAAGGAAAATATATCAACTGAAGGTTTTTGTCAAGAGCAGGTTGCAGAAGGAAACTGTTGACTAAGATCAGAAAGAGACAGTTCGAGTTTCCAAGACACATTATGAGGAAAGAAAGAATAGGAAGTCTGGTCGAACTGGAAAAATTGAAGGAATGGGATACCGTAGAAGACAGAGGTTGGCTTATGTCAAGAGTCTAAATGGATGAATGTATCGATATTGGAAATTATTTAAGCCTCAAGAAGAAGAGATCTGTGGAAGACCATGGTCACCAACGTCCTGTTTGGATATGGTACATAGAGGAAGAGATCTGTGGAAGACCATGGTCACCAACGTCCTGTTTGGATATGGTACATAGAGGGGGAGATATGTAGAAGACCATGGTCACCAACGTCCTGTTTGGATATGGTACATAGAGGAAGAGATCTGTGGAAGACCATGGTCACCATCATCCTGTTTGAATATGGTACATAGAGGGAGAGATCTGTGGAAGACCATGGTCACCATCATCCTGTTTGGATATGGTATGTAGAGGGAGAGAGATATATGTGGAAGACCATGGTCACCAATGTCCTGTTTGGATATGGGACATATGTATATATAGAGAGATATATGTGGAAGACCATGGTCACCAATGTCCTGTTTGGATATGGGACATATGTATATATAGAGAGAGATCTGTGGAAGACCATGGTCACCATCATCCTGTTTGGATATGGGACATAGAGAGAGAGAGAGATCTGTGGAAGATAATGGACACCAACGTCCTGTTTAGATATGGGACACAGAGAGAGAGAGAGATAAGTGTTGTGTTACGCTTCCTGTGCTTAACGTGTTAATATTAACATCTCCACTGTATTTTTTATAAAGAAATAAACTAAAACGTTTAAAATGAGAGATTCAAGAATTCTTTATATTTCCCATTTTACACATTTTATAAGTATGCGTTCGTACCTAAAGCTGTCTTTGGACTTATTACCCATTGTGCTAGTCGTGTTTCACAAATTCAACGTTTTTGGTTTTTGCTGTCGATATAGCATCTTTCGGAATTTATAATGTCTATTATCAACGAATGAGTCACAGATTTATTTGGAACTAAAAGTTGATGATTTATTGTACAGTATAAATAGTTTATCTATACCCCTAAAGAAGTTCCTAAGTTGAACAGCACAACTTCCAGAAGCTCTTCTCCTTCCTGGCTATAATTATCTAAGCTAGATATTCTATCTTAAATGAATAGTGAATCGAATCTAAACCAATATTTGACAAAAGTCCAAATGTACGTTCACCTATAACTACCGAATCGCTAGACCGATTGTCACCAATACTGACATGTACCCTAAGGACCCTTGTGGAGTGACATGGGGGAGAGTGCAGCGTTCTGATCTAAGTCACTCCTATTAGGGGTTGAAGGGGGTTCGTCAGCCACTTAGGCTTAAACAATGATAATAACTTAATAGTTTACTCACTCAGTCGACTGAGGAGGCCACAACTTCTTAATACTTTTATACGTCATCCAAACTAATTATTAGTAAATACTACTAGAATATTTATCAGTTGGGAGAAATTGTTAAAAATGGAATAGATTGTAATAATACTTGGACATTCACTCCGAGTGTTTTTACTACACTTACTAAAGCTAGTATCTGTAGTCGATACATATTTCGTCGTTCATAATCCACCGTTTGAATGACATTTATTTCAGCTTTACTTGTTCCTCGAGGACCAAATACATATTTAATGGAGAACTTTTCTGAACCCTAGAAAAAAAATAGATGTTAGTTTTGAAACTTGGTTTTTCCAAATTTCGTATATATATTGTTTTGTGTTAAGTAATTCTAATCGAAATTATCACAATGACTACACGGTAAATAAGAACAAAAACACAATCCATGCTGTAAGAAGTAATTGCTACCGTAACCTAAGAGTTAGAAATCAACTATCTTTTCAGAAAACCAATATATTTTTTATTTGAGCTAAACTTGATGAAAAAATAATTTACCTAGTATTTTAAAATTATCTTTTAATCAGGGGTGCCACGTATAAGAGACTAGGGAAGACTTAACCTCTCCAAATAAACTGTGTCTCATAGGGTATTATTTTCACCAAAAAACAAACATTATACAGTGTATGTATAAAAAGAGAGAATAACAGAGAGACAGCGAGATCGAAACAGGGTTTATGTGAGTTTATTTATTAAGGAACGCGAACCAATTCTTCCCAACTATGCAACCCCACCCCTCTCCTCACACATACGTGGAACAAAATAGTCTACCAAGTCTCACCTGTTGCCTTTATTTTTAATTCATATGAAATAAATTTGGAGAAAAAAAAATCTGTAAATGTGAGTAAGAGCCTGACCCTGAGAGTTGAGTAGACAGCTTAGAAACGTGTAGCTTCAATTCACTAGAAATACTCAAACAATCAATGTTTTCAGTACACAAGTAGAAACCTTTATTCTAAGACCGATCAACGGCCTTAAAACAGACACTCTACATGTTCCGACGTCTAATCACGTCATCCTCATGACGAAACAATTACTGTCTGTTTTAAGGCTATTGACCCGAATTTAGAGTAAAGGTTTTTAACTGTGCACTAAAAACGTTGATCGTTTGAGATTGTTAATTATATTTACACAAGTACCTTGAATTTTAACCTTTTAATAACACTTCAGGTTATTCTGGTTATGTATATAGATTGAACATATATCACTGATTTGATGAAATCAGAGAAAACAAATGAATCACACAGTGGTATTCTATGTCAAAATTACAGAAACCATGTGTACCGATGAGACCTATTGTATCTAACACAGAAACACGCGTTTATAAATTAATTATTTTCTTAAAAAAGTTGTTATTTCCATTTATTTCAGTTGCTCTAATACTGGCAACTATTAAACGATTCCTTTCAAAAATGTCAAACTTCTCTTGAGATAGTTTCAAAGGGTAAAATCGACCAACTTCTGTACCGAACAAACTTCTATGAAAACAAAATATTTCACAAAATTACTGTTTAAACTCAGTGTAATAAAATTTTTCTCGTTCATATTTACAAAGGAAAGCTTTATTCGAATACTGCTATGACACTGGATCTGTCCTGCCCATATCAATGTTACATCATAATTTAAATGTATTAAAGTATTAAGGTAGCAACTGATATAACATGTATATATATGTATATGTCAAATTATTTCCTATTTTAGATGAATAATATGAAAGCTATACATTATAATTTTAGAATATTAAACATCGTTTTAAGTTCTTGGAGAATAAAATGAACAACATTAACACGCAGTACTCAGGCTTTTTAAAGCTCAACCAGCTCTTCCTCGAAGACTTGTTTCCTTTAGAAAGTCAACCGATGGATCAGCGGCAAATGTACGAACTTACAACGCTAAATCCGGAGTTCGATTCCCGCGGTGGACAAACATTGAAACACTTGTGCTAATAATACACACATTTTTATATAGAAGAAAGAAAAGACAAACAGGGAAGAACCAAAGTATTAACTCTGTTCGTATGAAGTGAAATAAAACACAGTAGCTCATGATTAAAGAACGTTCCAATAACTCACCCTAAGTTCAAACTGCACTGGCAGATTACTGTTTTCTTTTTCTCTGGCTAACACATATCCCACGGTGGTGTTCTGAGCTGTATTCTTTGTGGAAAAAAACCAAGTAAACCATAATTAGACTGTATAAAAACACATCTTCTAAACGTCATAAACGTGAGAGACTATAACAAAATGCCCCCTAGTGGCTTAGCGTTAAGTTTGAAAGCTCATAACGCTCAAAACCAGGTTTTGATACCCACGGTGGACACAGCACAGATAGCCGATTGTGTAGCTTTGCGCTTAACAACAAATAAACTATTGTAAAAAGTGTGCTAGTAGCTATAATTTATAGCAATAGGAGAGACTTGTTAATTTTTTAACATACCGATAAAGTTTGTTTCAAAGTTTTCACGCAAAGCACCACACAGCGCTGTTTGCGCTCAGCGTAATCTAACTTTTAACTGGTAGACTAGACAAAAAGCATATAATCAATAACACTTACGGCCAGCTATCGGAATGCTTTTGTCAGGCAGAATAGTTGGACTTGACCGTCACCCTTATAACGCAACAAAACCATAAATTGAAAAGCGCGATTTTGCTGAAACTGGCCACGAACCGCGCACCCTCGGATTCACGGTCCAAGCACGCTAACTATAGGTTAGGCTTAACTCTGCCAATAAAGATTGTAAGCTGTAGAATAAAACCTATTCGACTTATTTTATCATAATACACAAGTCTCTCTGATATCAAAAGTTCGAATACTTTAATGTATTAAGAATTCAATAAATTTTCTTTAAATTATTTATCATATTTTAATATTCTTTTGTAGAACTGGTTGCTCTGAAACAAAACATAAATTAATATTTGTATCTCTGAATATTAGGTGAAGAATGCTGCAGCCTTAGGATTATTTAAACTAGAAATCCTGGAATAAAAACTAAACTAACCTCAGGCAGTTGTATGACAGGCTCGTAATCCAGAAACGGCGAAGAAAGTCTTGTAACATCTGTAATAATAATAGTCGATTCATCCTCGGTTGTCTGGGAAACAAACAAAAAACATAAACTTTGTATTATACTAGCTTACAGGGTTTAGATATAACAGTCTACGTTTAAAGCTTACGCGGCAGCTTCAACCAAAAGGTATGAAATATAATTTATAAGTGATATTAATCCCTCAGATCAAACTATTTGTAATTGTATAACACAAGTAAACTCTAAAGTTACGGTTTTAAATTATCACCTAAAATTAGTTTTTTTTTTTTTGATAGCCCTTTTTCTGGCACTATTTAAAACCCAGTTTATGAGTGCTGATATTCAACGAAACTCCTCCTGAGGGCAGGTGAGTGGGGAACTTGAGGCAGACAAAAAATTAAGTTTGAAATGCTATCTTCACACACACATCTAATTTCAAATTCGTAATCAGTGCCGGATTTAGGCATAAGATAAACAAACTACAGCTCAGGGCCTCACAATCCGCAGGGGCCTCACAAAATTTCAATTTTTTTTTTTTTTTGCCTTTAAAATGCATTTATTTTAAAATAATTTGTATATTTCACTTTAAATACCTTGCTATTAAATAATTAAAAGGTATATATATGTCTTTAATTGTTTTATGGCGACCCAAGGTCCTGTTTTGGTACGTACCCTTGTGAGACCTTCTGGTGTAACTTTTTAACAAGGGGCTTTCAAGTTTTATATAGCTTAGGGCCTCGCCAGGTCTAAATCCGGCACTGTCCGTAATGGACGAACCAGAATGAATGCGGAAGAAACTTCTGCAGTCTAGTATAACTTTTATCCCTAATATTAGGCCCAGGGCGTCATTTGGGAGGTCGGCAGTTTCTGTGAGATATTTCAGGTCAAGGCAGATCAACACATATTCTCAAATTACGCCATAGTATTGCATACCCAGCTGAAATGAGCGTCTGGCCTACACGAGGTCGCTTTTGTGAAATGACGTTCCTAATTAGGCCTACAAGCAATTGTAAAACATCACTAGTTGTTATACTACATAATGTGCGGAAACACAATAACAAACTTCCACTTACCTGAACGCCATCTGTGACGAATACCGTAAATTTATACTCATTTTCCTGAAAAAAAACAAAAACAACTACACATTTGAGACAATGAAAATAAATAACATGTTAAAGTCATTATTTCAAGTCATGTAAATTTAACTTTTTATTTGTTATGATGTAAAGTTAAGCTTTCGTTAGATTAAATCTATTTGTAATGTATATTTTACCCAATATTATAATCACTAAAATCCTCCGTGTCAAAAAAAAAAAGTAAAACGTGCAAGTTTATGAAATCTCAAGTTTACAAGACTGATTTAATAACTGATTATCCTGCTACAAATTTATTTGTGTTTTAATATATTTGACTCATGTTTATTCGTGGGCTTTTCACTACATTCGTTAGAGCAAAAGCTGGCTACACACACAAATGCGCGCGCACACAAATATGACAACAATTCAGGGTTCATCGCTAGTAAATATCCAATGTAAGCAAAAAAAAATCAAATAAATATCCTTTGCAAAATATGAAAACATTAATTTTTGTTTGGGTCTTTTTTAGCGCAAAACTACACAATGAGCCATCTACGCAGAGTCCATAGCGAGGAATCGAACCCCGAATTTTAACATTGTAAGTCTGGAAACTTCCCGCTGACCCACCGAGGGCGGGTTGAAAACGATGCATGGTAAATAACTTTCACGGCATTCAATGAATACATAATATTAACAAAACTATTGACAAAACGCCCACAACTATCAATGGGCCCATACCCATTGAAGTTGCATCTGAATCCCATGGTGCACTTTTATGTAGGGTATATATAGATTAGCAGCTGCCATAGATAGCCAGTTGGAGTAGAAAGGCCAGTGCTAGTGTATGAATGTTCCGACGTGTTCGTGTATTTAAAGCCAATCTACTGTGGTTTACTGAAAAAAAAGACCACTAGATGCGCTAATGTGAAATATCGATACAGCTGCGCGAAATTAGGCATTCCACGGCCAGTTCAAACGTTGAAATGTATAATAAGACAAAAAGGCTTATATGGCATAAAATTAATCGCACAAATCGTTAATGAGACCTAAAAACTGAAATCCACAGATGGGCTGCAACCCATCAGCCACCCATCACAGCCGTGAATATAAGTGGTTAGTTCTCGTGGTGCCTTGAGGGTCGAAAGTGTGGGGACATAAATAATAAATGAAATACGTGACGGATATTTCGTTTTTAAAGGAAACTTTCCTAAACTGGGGTGTTCAGGGATATTATTATCCCCCTTCGCCTTGCTCGCGTAAAGGTAGAGTTTTGATAAGGTCGTGGGTTAAAAATAATTTTAGAGATAGTTGTTATTTAATGGCAGAGAAATCTGGCAGATGTTTAGTGGATCGTGAGGCAGAGAGGAGATCAAGGCTGGTGACGACGGTGATGATGACGACGTTTATGAGAAGAAGAAAGGCGACAGCGTTCGACAAAGTATATCTCAATCAACGCCCTGTTAACAGGGTCACCTAAGAGTGCCGGGATATGTGTTGTGGGGGGGGGGGGGACGGGAGATCCCCGAGAAAACCCACTTTCACAGAACAGGCACCAATCTTGTGCCCAAAGCTGGAAATTAAACAACATAAATGGGTTAGAAGAAATTTGGGGTGTTTTTAAGTTTCTTTCATGGTTAAGTATTCATTGTATGGGGACATTGTGTTGTTTGATGCGCTTGTCATCCTGTGAAAGGCGGCAGTTAGGGGGGGGGTTCTTTTTTCTGCTTAGTTATAACATTTGAATGCTAGGGGTGTTAGTCTTTCTTTTATTGTTTGTATATTGCATGATTTGTGTAAGTAACTCGTTGGGGTAAATTTTGGTAATCTTAAGGCTAGTTTAAGAACTCTGTTCTGTTGAAGTTGTAACTTGTTATTAATTCTGCTCGACATATTGAAGGTGACTTGGCACCCGTACTCTATTAGGGGCGTATGTAAGCTGAGTATATTTTTATTATTGTTTGTGTTTAGCAACCTTTGTTTCTTCTTGCAATTAACCTTAAATGTGTAATACGTTTGCTGATGGGTTTGTGTATGTGCTTGAAATGTTCAGCCCATGTAAGACAACTGTCTGGAAACGTCGTTGTGGGGCATAATTTTATTTCGGTATCGTTTAATTTTGAGTTTTATTTTTTTAACGTTTTTGAAATGTTTGTTATGGCTAATTCGAAATATAATTGCTGTCATTTTAAGTGAGTTAAGAGATACCATCCAATTGCTGCACCAATTAATTATAGCATTGAGGGGTTTTTGTATTCTACTAGCTGCTATTAGGGGGTTTCACGAAGTGCTCCAAACAGCAATATCATCGGCATACTGTGAGAAGTATGTGTGTGTTAGGTTCGTAAAGCGGGTGTTATTAACAAAAATAATATAAAGGAGTGGTGAGAGGACGGAGCCTTCAGGGACTCCTTCTGTAATGTTAGATGATTTTGAGATGGCGTTGTTAACTTTAAGGGGGGTTGTGCGATAACAAAGGAAATTAGATGTCCATTTGAGGATTGTGTTATTTACTTTAATATTATGTCAGATAGAGTCAAAGGCTTTCTTTACGTCTAGAAATACGTCTAGAATAGCTTGGTTGTTATTAAATGCTTTGGGAATGGATTCGGTTAATCTGGTTAGGTGGATGTTTGGTATCAGGTTGTTGTTTTCTCAATATAGGAGAAGTCTGTTTGACATTATGCGTTCAAGTAGCTTGTCGAATCAGTTTAGAAGACTGATTGATCTGAAGTTATCAGGATTGGAATTGTTGCTGTTTGATTTGGGGATGACTGTGACGATAGATTTTGAAAGAAATGATAGGTTCATAATGTTAAGTAGGTGTATTAAAAGCTTGTTCGATGCGTTTTTAAGTATTGTATTACGAATACCGTCATGGCTGGGAGATGAGTTGTTTTTTTTTAGTGATCTAATGTTTATTTTAAGTTCGCCAGCAAAGATTTTTCTAATTTAAAAAAGTCATGACTGCTGGGTGATGATTGTGTTCCGATGGTTGCGCGAAATATCGGGGTAAGTAATTCGGGTCGGGAGGTTATATGGTTGTCAACTTTTTGTTTGAATTGTTGATTGAACTGAGGTGAATCGATGTTAGAAAAGGAATTTTGGTAGTGGTTACCTAACAAATAATTTGTTGTTGCTTTTCTCGGATGTTAAAGATTAAAAATTTTTCAGAATTCTTTTAGTTGGTTTTGAGAGTTCTCGAGTAAGTTGCAAAATTTTAGCCAATTTTCATTGCTCAGGACAGCTATTTTTCTTTTAATTAAAGCCTGTATTCTGTTTATATGTGGTTTAAGAGATGTATCTCGTGTTGCTTCTTCTTCTTTGGCATCTTCTTTCTAGAATTAGGTTGTGTAATTCTGTGTTGAGTTTCCAGTGTTGTAGTGTGTTACTGTGAGGGTTGTCATTTTAGTTGCTTGGGTGCATTTGTGGGCTTTCTTTTTACGTAACTGTCTAAGTCACTTTTGCAAGTTATCGTGGTGATAGGGTTGGGTATGAGAGTGTCTAGTAAAGTGTTGAAGTTGTTCCAGATGGTATTCGAGAATGGTGACAGCAATGCAGAAACCATTATAAGGAATGATAAATAAGTTATCATGGTGATAGGGTTGGGTATGAGAGTGTCTAGTAAAGTGTTGAAGTTGTTCCAGATGGTATTCGAGAGTGGTGACAGCAATGCAGAAACCATTATAAGGAATGATAAATCCTGCTATTTGTTGTTTGCTTTCGAATGATGGGTCTCTGTTTGACTCAGTATGCGGGTGCACGCAGCTGCAAAATGTATGCACTTGCCAATTGTAATTATTTCCCAGGAAAATCGGGACTTTTGTTCTATACGTCGGGGGGGGGGGGGTAGGGTGTTTCTAAGAAATAGGGACTGTTGGGAAGTTTGGATATACCCGGTGCCCCTTCCGAAGTAAAGAGTGTAGGAAAAACATTCATTCTCGCAGATATTATGTAAATAAAAAGAAAATGTGATCATGCACACTTGAATATATATATATTGTAATTAGGCATCGTAGCTGAATGAATATAGAAGAAAAACTCTTGAAACTGTAGCGAGAGTACGGAGAAAGATATCATCTGGAATGGAGAGTATAGGGGGAAAATATAACGTGTTGGCTCATAAGAAAACATACATATTAACCTAGAATTGTTTACATATTTTAATCTCCTAAATCATTTCATTAAAAAAAAAGCAACTTCATATTATAGCGGAGATCTGACTTAACGATGAAGGTTTTTACAGTAAATAGTATAATATTACCGTTGGTCTTTTACGTAGAATGACGTCGGCTTCAGTAAAACTAGCCGCTTGCACGTCCAAGAGATCGCTTGCCCCTGTTCCCCGAATACCAAAGGTCAACACATCAGGAATGTCAAAATCGTGACCTTTCAGACGATATATTATGGTTCCTGGAATAGGAAACACAGTGTTTCGATGACAGTTATCAAATGTTTATTGTATAATAACATTAAACTGAAGTGATAAATACTTAATTTTGATTCTTCAAACAAACATTTGTACAAAGATTATTTATGACAATAAATAAATGTAAAGACAAAGCAAAATAATTAGTTTTCACTAACAATATTCTAATTATAATTAACTGAGATAAATTAAACCAAATTTTTCCAGGTTTATTAAAGAGGGTGCTATTGGTATGCAACACAAATTAACAAAATGCAGATTATAAAAGCTTTATTAAATAGTTAAAATTGGCCTGCTGAAACTAACTTAGCTTACACTTTGTGTTAAGAAGTATTTGAAGAGGTTATAGGTGGTGTTTACTAAAACAAATAACGTTGATATGTTGAAACTAACTTACCTATTGTGTTAAGAAGTATTTGAAGAGGTTGTAGGTGGTGTTTACTAAAACAGATAACGTTGATATGTTGAAACTAACTTAGCTTACACTTTATGTTAAGAAGTATTTGAAGAGATTGTAGATGATGTTTACTAAAATAGATAACGTTGATCTGTTGAAACTAACTTAGCTTACACTTTGTGTTAAGAAGTATTTGAAGAGATTGTAGGTGGTGTTTACTAAAACAAATAACGTTGATATGTTGAAACTAACCTACTGTGTTAAGAGGTATTTGAAGAGGTTGTAGGTGGTGTTTACTAAAATAGATAACGTTGATCTGTTGAAACTAACTTAGCTTACACTTTGTGTTAAGAAGTATTTGAAGAGGTTGTAGGTGGTGTTTACTAAAATAGATAACGTTGATATGTTGAAACTAACTTAGCTTACACTTTGTGTTAAGAAGCATTTGAAGAGATTGTAGGTGTTGTTTACTAAAACAGATAACGTTGATATGTTGAAACTATATATCCTGGAAACACAGCTCTCAGCTTAGATTATATGAATTAATCAGGCTAATTTCTTCCTAAAATAGGAAGATAATACCAGTTATAAAATATTTCAAAAGAGTGAACGACCTGTCTGATAAGCTTACCTGCTTTGGTTTCCCTGGGTAGTTTCAAAACACGCATGTTGTGGGACACTTCAATATTTGGAGCGTTTCCTGACGAAAGACAGTTTAGTCATGATTTGATTTTCTAATATTAGATTCTTGAAATATCTAAAAGTACGTACTGGCTGGAAAATTAAATGAAAAGATAACGAATTGAAAGCTATAAACAAATTGATTCATTTAATTAGAACTGCACGCATATATATATGTAGCAGTTCAATTTCGACGATTTAATTTAAGTGCCAGAGACCGTTAAACACGTATATGGTCGACATATCTATAGTTTTCAGCTTTAATCGTAACACCATTTATTTTGTATGATCTTCGTGATATGCTTAGAGATTAGCCTAATCACGATAAGCGACCGTTCAGTACTTAATAAGTGTGTTATGTAGATTGCACATGACGAGCGTTCAAAAATTACCATTAATTGCTTTTCCGCTTATTTTAACGTAATTCAAACTAGAAAATCTGGGGGAAATTGTTATAGCAAAGCAAACGAAAAGTAAAAAAAAATAATAATAATAAAATAATAATAAATGGATGAATGTAGTAAAACAAGAGGTAATCCTCAATAGCCGGGACTCTTGAAATTCTTTCAGGCAGGATTAGAGTAAATTAATCTATGATAACTTATTAGCCTCGGCATAGCAGCTTATGGAATGGCTCTGAGTTTTTTAAATACAAACTTTTAGCTCATAGCTCCGACATCTCTTCCCCGATTTGAGATCTGATTAGAGTTTTGGACTCAGAAGGTCAAATCTCAGAGCCCTTCTATGAGCGGCTGTGCCGCGGCTAACTTGTAATAAGTAACAAATAAACAACAACAACAACAAAGAGTCCTGTAAGAGAGCTAGTTTCTTCCGGGATGGGAAACATTTACTAAGAGTTAAGTTATTTTATGTAAACGTTCCCTACTAAAGAAATAGAATACGGTATCTTATATCGTAATAAGCCATCTGGTGGCTCAGTGGTAAATATTAGGATTTATAAAACTAAAAATCGAGTTTCGATACCAGCGATGCCACGTCTCAGATAGCCCATTGTTTAGCTTTGCACTTAACAACAAACAACACACCGTAATAAGCAAAGATGGGCGCAAAACACGTTCACTATGCTTGGTGATGAAAATATTTAATTATTTATATTTAAGGTAAGCCTTAACTACTTCTATAAGATGGATTAAGCATGAGTAACGAACTAGAAGATTTTTCAAGGGCTAGTTAAATAATGTATAATTTAATGTCAGTCGTGTAAAAGCGAACAGGGGCAGCCTCACAAACCGTTGGTTTACTTATTAAAAACGAGCAGCAACTAACAAACAATACTGAATATTACAATAAGAGGCGATATTTAATTGTTAATGTTTACATATATGAAGAGTATTCTTGCATTGTTAGCTTAGTATATGGGCTTACTAATAACCTAATTATCCTCAGATGGCTGGCCCTAGTGTGATATTATTGGGATTACGGCCGAAAACAGTGTTAATAGCGAGGGTACCCAAATTATGCTTTTCTTACATTTTAATCATTGCAAGTTTAAGTTTCCTTGTGTATGTATGTATGTCACTATGTACTTGTAGTCAGTTTGTTATACAGAGGCTGAATACTACTGTATGCTATATTAAGACAATTTTGGAACTTCACCACGTCATTACATTTCATATCGACACGTCCGGTCATGTCTATCTGGCGACCATGCATCTTGTCAACAGCGCTGCAGCGTGTAGTTTCCTTTGCAAAAAGCTCCGTCGTAAGGCTGTTATTTCCAAAACACAACAACCCTCCTCCATGCTTGCTTTTCATAAGCCTTCTAGTGTAGGAGAACGACGGTTCACCAGCATCCATTTCAACAGTCCGATTGCTCAGAAATCCATAAGCAACTTGACTGATATGTTTTTGTATGGAACAGCAGGAATGTTGGTCTTATTCTCCAGCTGGATGAGATAGACAATAGTCGAACGGAAAATATAACTGGAAGCCTTATCTTGCCGAGCTCATAGACTGTTGTCCCCGTTTCCAGGCAGATGTTTTTCTTAATTATGTTGCGTACTGTTGCCTGGGGCACGTAGATGGCTTTTGCCAAAGATCTTTGTGTTTGTGGATTCTCCCCTGTTACAAGACGCCACACTTTACTCAGCATGGTTGAGTTACGATTTTTTGCAAGTCTCTTTCTGGATAGTCCTAGTACCCCAAGTTGATACATAGTTTTTTGTTGTTTTTTTTGCAATGCTATTATGTACAAGTGATATCCCAGTCTTGGAAATACTAATCCTCGATCTAAACACATCTTTGTGATCTGAGTGTATAAATATTTTGCAACCTAGAGGGCTGTTAAATGCCCTTCCCAAAAGCGATAAATCTTCTGTGGTATTGCACAGCTTATTGTTTTGATACATTTCGTTCCACTGTCACTTTGTGTCGACTGTATTTGTTACGTGATTGAGTGATTTGTATATTCAAACTCGTTTTAAAATAACTTCATCAACCCTGTAATCACTAACACACAAGCTAATTTTTAGTCCTGATATATGTCGTTAGCTTATTTTTGATCTGGAGATTCGTGTTTTGCGACCCCTTAGTACAAAAAACACGTTCCATACTTTTGGGCCAAGAGTTGATTATAAGAGTGACAGTCAAGTTCCACTATCGGTCAGACAAGAGTAACTTAAGAGTTGATGACATGCTACTTTCTAACAACAAAACAAAACTATTTACTTGTCGAAAATATCTGAGCTTCTCAATTTTCTGTTATACGTCAAAATTTAGTTGTTGTTTTTTAAACTGTTGTTCACTAAATTTTATATTTAATTGAAATTATTCACTATTTTTCTGCCGAAACAACAGGCAATTGTGTTATATTGTGTATTTATAGGTTAAACACAAACATCAACTTAACAAATAAACACATTTTATTATGAGCTGTAGACTTAAATTTAAGCCTACAAAAAATTTTAATCATCCATATATGTAGATATAAATTACATTAAACTGGCAAGTCAAATCTAAATATTAGAATATATGTATAGAATGTTCAGAAGTTACATTAACGAAATCATTTACTTCTGTTCCCAAGGAGCCTTGAGCCTCCATTACAATGGTTAGTAGAATTCAATTATACGGTCAACAGCAACACGAACTTAGCAGAAGTTTCAACACTCATATACCAAAATAAGTGTTAATAAACTTGTGAATGCAACTTCCGGACGTCCTTTATATTTACAATGCCTACCTACCTTTTGTAATGTCGCCTTGTAGGAACAGGATTATAACAGTCCACATCCGAATCTTCTCCATGTTATCTCAGGATGTAAGCTCTTTGCTTTCTTGTAGGCCTAACATATAAAACATCAAAGCTACTAAACTTGTAAATATCTCTTCTAGATATTACATAAAAAGCACGCATTGGATTTTTTTTTCAAATAGTTAAAAAGAGGAGATGCTACTGTATATACATGTATATATAGTGCTGGTCACGTGTTAGACAAGGTTATTGGCGCGAAGTACTCGAAATCTTATAAAACAGCGTGAAATGTGACCTAGAAAAAACACTTTTTAAATGAAGTGTTTAATTATTGATTACATACAGCATTGAGAGCTAAAGAAAAATTTAATCTTATTTTAATACCAATATTTTGACTTAATCAACAGAGTATACATCAGAATTCAAAACTTGAGCACAACAGATACAAATTAAGCTTATTTGAAAAGAACCAATCAATAAAATCCGATTATAATTAGCCACGTGATATCGTGAGCAAGATAGGATAGATCGTGACTTATGATTGGATAAGACAGTGTGACGTATGACGGTTTAACAGATGAAATACTACATCACCGTATTACTAATAATAACACAGGCCTGCGAATTTAAACTTCATAAAAGATGTTATGGTTTTAATAACGGATTTTCCATAATTCAGCTACGCAGATTTCGAAAAAATAATATTCATTTCAACGAAAATGATTTACTTATGTAAAAGTACATATGACGTTTTGTGTAAAATCTGTACGTGATGAAGGAAAATGGATACATGTTCGGATTCAGCGTACAGGAATTAGTGTAGAAAGAGAAAAATTTCAAGACAATAAGACCATCGCAGGTCTGTATTATCAGTATCTAACAAAAATGTATTTACGAAACACAAATATCGTAATATTTATAAAAGTAATTACTTATGCACGTGGCTCGGTTATGTTTGTCTGTTTGTAGAGCAAATCCATATTGGGCTATCTGCTGTTTCCACCTCGGGGAATCGAACTCCGACTTTTAGCGTTGTAAGTTCGAAAACTTACCGCTTCCCGGGGGACGACTCAATTATGGTGTCAACATTTTCGTCGTTCGGTAAATATCAATATAGTTTTAGTAAACTGAACATTGTTAGGTCTCTGTTCGTTTGTTAATTTCCCGTATAATTTCTTTCCGATGAAACTTAGCGATACAACTCCTTTCTTAATTAAAACTAGTTTATTATTTCTCGATACAACTTTATAATACACGGAATTTCCACAGTCACTTTAACTTAAACACACGCCATAATTCACAACGATTTACACCCTTTACTTACGGCTTGACTCGATTATCCGGCTCTATATCTCCCTATCTGCAATTGTTCCTCCGCTTTATTTGCCGGCTAATATACTAAAATAGAGGGCGCGTAGAAAAGACTAGAGTTGCCAGAAAGAGACATGATCCTTCTATAAACTCATGACGTATTACCAGCGTCACGTGACTTCTGCTGTCGTAACAGCTGTATAAGACTCTATAAGATTTTAATGTGTTTTTTTTTTTTTTACGTAATTTGCAAAACACGTTCATTTATTCAGTATAATGTTTTAGGTATTTTATTTACGAACAAAATGGGAGAAAAATAAAACGGGGAATATCTGTTTACGCTATTCATCCTTTAACTAAACATCTTTAAAGTATAAGTATTGTTTGTTTTTTTTAAATGTATAAACAAAAACTTGGAATGACCGATAGTTTTGTTGTTTTGTGGTATTTGGTATTTTCAACGTGAACAACGTCTGGCTAAATGGCCACGTCACAGACTTGTAAAGCTCAGCCACAATGATTCATAACTTAAAACTTCTGGAACTCGGAAGGACAATAAGTTAATTGCACTCGCTGCCTATGCGGCTACTCTCAACCGAATATCTGAACTGACTGTTACAGTTATATTTCTTTCACAGCTGAAAGTATGGAGCGTGCTCCGCAGTATACCGTGGTTCGAACCTTGGACTGTTAAATCTCCAGTCCATGCCCGATTCTTAGCTTAATCACAGCTGTTATTACAATGGTCGTGTGGCAATACGACATAATACATAAATTACAAACGAGAAATAGTATTCAACAACAAATACTGACGCAAAATACTGGATGCAAAATACAACGAGGTCCAGGTAAACAAAACATATAACCCAAAATGAAGAGATGTAAGGTTCTTTAGAGGTCGTACATCAGTTACTAAGGTGGTCTTAAGACTAGATACTTCATCTTTGTACTGAAGTAAGTGTTTAATGCGGAGGTTTGATCTGTATATTTGAGAAGTTCCAGAATAATATACAGACCAAGTCTCTGTTTTAAGACTTCTACAGCAAAATTGTCTATTGCTAATAGATATATCTCAGTTTGATGATAATGTAATTAAGATCGTTCTTTGCCGGTTTAATATACCTTTCCAAAAGGAAGAATGTATAATAACATTTCAACTTTGACTAGTATCTTGTATGTTGTAATTCATAACCAATGAGCTTCTCGCTAAGTACCAGAGCTCAACAGTTACAACATAGTCTGTTGCTTATTGGGTAGCACAGTTCATCAGGCCAGCTGAGTTACAACTAGGGATGCGTATCTCATCATAGTAGTTGATACGATATTGATGCCGCGACACGACACGTACTAGATGCAGAAGTTTTACCAATAGTTTGTTACAAAGTTTAACAGTCTTGTCTGTAATTTATTATCTATATTACTAACATTGTCTTATTTAAGTACGTCACACTTTACAGTGATTTTTTTAAATTCTCAGGTTTGATCAACTAAATGGCAGCTGACAAGAGAAGTAAAATAATAAAAATGTTAATATCTGTCTATCTATTTTGTTATTGTTAATTTGTTATGTTATTTTACATGTGATGTTTTTGATAAAATAAATGAAGACAACATGTTGTACTCAATACTCATCTTCCTTTATTAAATGATTAATTTTTATCAAAAATATTTTATTAGAAATTATGATTGTTTCTGTGCAAAATACTTGTAATGTTTACTGAAAGCTTGTCAAATTTCGTGAAGATACATAAATCATATCGGACGATGTATCGATACAATGGTATCAAGGCTTCACGATACGATACTCTAATCGTATCGCTGTATCGCCACATCTTTAGTTACAACGTACAACAGATACCATAATACAGTTGATTACAATGTGCCATATCTCACCACTCCACACTACAATATTGCTGTTCTGAATACGAGACTTCATCAGTTATGGATAATTGAATAAACAAATAACAAAAAATTCAGCATATTTCATATTCAACATAATGAATTCATAGAATTTATCCTTTTCATTAAATACAACTTGAATGGATGAAAACTTGCTCAATAAATATAAAAGGAAGAGAAAATGTCGATTACTTTAATTATATGTCATATTGTTTACTGATTACTTTATATATACATATTTCACATTGTTTACTGATTACTTTATATATACATATGTCACATTGTTTGCTGATTACTATATATATACATATTTCACATTGTTTACTGATTACTTTATATATATGTCACATTGTTTGCTGATTACTTTATATATACATATGTCACATTGTTTGCT